CCACCTCCCTGACTGTATCCATCTCTGTTCCCTTATGTTGTAGCTTGCTAACCCCTTCCCCTCCCATCGAATGGCCTTATCTGTAAAATGGGTCCTCAATTTGTCCATAGCTCTTCACTAAGATGACTTACCCAGTCCAGATCCAAAATGAATGCAGGAGGCTCTCAGACAGTTGGGGGCAGCGTATGGAATTTATGGTAGTTTGGGGAGCAATCTTAGCACAGACAAGTTTTCCTGTGCCCTATTAGAATCACATCAGAACCATCAAATTATATTACTTCTCAAGATACAGCTAAAGTGACTTGTGTGTTCATCTGGCTCTCTCACTTAGAGAGCTACATTAGGAAGCTTGAGCTTAAGGTAGATGTGAACTGGTAGCCCAGATGAGGAAAGTGTTTCAATTCCTTGTTAACATCTGGGATCAGTACTTGAATGATGGAGTTGGACAGTACTTTCACGATCAGGCATTAAAAGTGCCTCATTTAATGATTGAAGCTTAAAAAGTCAAATCCAAGAATGCCAAGTTAGAAAGGAATTAGAGGTAGAATGAAAATTTCCCAATTCATAGTACTATCTTCTTTGATTTTTTAAAATTGTTATAATAATCTCACAGATGAGTAAAATTAAGCAAAATTAAGCTAGCTGGTTAAACAAACTCCATTTCTAGCAGCAACCAAAAATGTATAAGACTCAGTAATGGATTAGGCAAGAATATGGTTAGGAGAAAAAAATTATCAGATTTGTTCTACCAAAAGCCATCATTAGATGTCTTCATTCCAAGCTCAGAGTGTACATAAAGCAATCTGCTGCTCACAGCATGTCCATGGCAAATTCTTTCTCTTCCTAAATCAGAATTGTAGTTATCTAATTTCTTGTTCTCAATACTAGTCATGCTTTCCCTATGTGTAAAAATGCAGACTTTTTTCCCTTATAGACACATTGCATCTTTTACATTTCAAAAGGTAATCACAATGATTGTATTGGCCTTTAAGTGATTATATATTCATATTCCAATATCACATTTACATTTCTTCTGATTGCTACTGAGAAGCTATAAAAGAGTTCCTGGGTTTTTTGTCATCATCTGTAGGTCGTTGTCTAGCCCAGCATTCACAGGAGGCTGGCAATACAAGGCATTTAGTCAGCAGGTCACAATGGCCCTACCACTCTCTGTTATTCAGAATAGAATTTAACTGGGAACTTCACATTGTATCATATACCATAACCTAGTTTTCTTATGTATTGTTTATATTGTATATATTGTTTTATTGTTAAGAATTATGGTAAAAATAAAATTCTATTTACCAAATTCTCCTTAACAGAAAGAATGTTTAATAGGCTGACAGATAATAGGTTTTAAAATAACTTGCTAATCTTTGTCTTCTGTATTCTTCAAATCCTTATTTTTATCTACTATAGACCTTTTATTTTATTATTTTTTTTTCCTTTAGTTTTGCTAGACCTTTTATTTTAAAACTTTATAATATCTTAAGTGATTGTCAGTCAATATTTATTACATCATTATATTCTACATTTAGTTTTTCATTGCTCATATTTTAACAAATATAATAAAGAGAACGAATAAAGATAATGGCATATGCATATGGCAACTGTATATGCAGTTTGCAGTTTGATTGCTTGCTATGGGCCAGGCCCTTTGGGAAGCAGTTAGATGATCTCATTTAGTCCTCACCTTAATCCTACAAGTGTCACTGTCCCCTTTTTACTAACAACAAACTGAAGCTCAGTGAAATTGAGTCAGAGTCCCAGTGTCACACATAAAAAAGGGATCAAGCTGGGTGTGGTGGTGAGTGCCTGTTGTCCCAGCTACTCAGTAGGTTGAGGCAGGATGATTGCTTGAGCCTAGGAGTTTCGGCCCAGCCTGGGCAACATAGTAAGACCCTGTTAAAAAGAAAAAAAAAAAAAGTGGTCAAATTAGGGTTCCTGATCAGAACTATCTGATATTAAAGTGCTCTTAAGAGCAAGAATACATTATTCTGTCTTTGAAATGGGTGACCTTTCTTCTTTATTCCATATTCACATGGACCATTTTATCTATAAGGGAAAAAAAGGAAATTAAAAATACCATGAGTCATAGTGTAATTACTGGTGAATTGATAGATAGCAATAAAATAGAAGTATGAGTACACAGAGCAGCATGGGGGTGGTATTAGTCAGTCAAACTCTGTTTCAATGCTAGCAATTGGCTATTTCACATGTTTATAAAGAGATTTTTCTCAAGATAACTGAATTTTATTGATTCAAGTACCAAAACTTTTAAAAAGTAACTTTTAATGAAAATCTTTCTAAACATTCTATAGGCATTTCTGTATAGTGTTTATAGACAGATGACCCAAGGATATCACTTGAAAGTTCCAGGATTTTACTATGAGTGGACTAGCTCTGGTCTGCTTTCATTCGTTTTCAGCTCTCCTCTCTTGACGCTGTTTTCTCTCATGTTTGAATCCACTCGATTCTTCCCTCAATTGCTTCTCTTCCTTCTAGGGAGCTACAGACTGAGAAGCCATGTAACACAGCACTGTAAACAAATCTGTGTCTGGAGTGATTGGAATTCTTAGAGAAAGCCATAGAGGGAAAAGCATTGTTTTTAGTTATAGCATTTTGGGGTACCAGAAAAGTCTTGCAATTTGGAAATACTGATTTATTTATTTATACTCTGCATTGTTCACTACACATGTAATAAAATGATGGTAAATGTACATAGTAAAAATATCAGGAGTAGAAATAAATAGGAACCAGTATGAAGGGGCTTCTTGGCAGCCAAACCCAAAAAGGCAGATTTAGTTATGATTTTTATTATCATAGAAGATAATGTATAATAGTCCTGAAAGGTTCTCTCATAGAAAGCTTCATATATATATTTTTTCTTTTTCTTTTTTTTTTTTTCAAATTTTCCCAAGTCAGGGCTGTGGAGAAGTGGGCTAAAATTTTGCAATTCTTGATGTTGCTCTTCAATAAAATTATAATCATTATCAGTAACAACTGAACAATTATGTAAAAAATACTGTGTGAGTCAAAGAATGAAATATGGAGAGCTTTGCTCCTCAGGGCCTTAAACCTCTAGTCAGAAAATAAGACTAAACTTACATGTCTAGCCAATTTAAGCTAGTATTAATATATATTATCATTACTGAATTTATGTTAATTACAGATATAACATTCTAAACTCAGCCCTTCAATTCCATAACTAAGATATGTTATTGAGGTATCTCCAAATATTTACAAGGACATTAATATCATCAAAATCAGCCAAAAATATATCATCTACCAGTGTACAGGATGCCCACATCCAATGACTGGTTAATGCAAAAGTCTAAAAAGGCTAATTTCTTTACCTCAATTTATGACAACTCCAAAGGGTGTCCCAGTTTCAGAGCTCTCCATAGGGTTAGGTGAGGCCTTGTGGTGAATGCCTCACAGCTCAACTTCTTTCTCTGCCCAGTCCTGCCTCCTTCATTTCTACCCTAGTAATCTCTAGATCACTCCCTAATAAATGTCTGATAACCCAATCTCCATCCCATAGGCTGCTTGCCTGGAAAACCAACATGCCACAGTATAAGTCACTTTGTACAGCCACTAAGAATTATGTGTAAGGCAAATTACAGTTTAGTTTAAAAGACAAGGCACAGCAGTACATACTAGGTAGGAAAGCTAAGGAGTGAATGAACCATTCAGGTTTTGAAAGCCTTTACACCCCAGAAGCAAAGGAGACGGCTCAGAGCTGGGGCAGCCCAGGAAATCTTCTAAATGTCCCTTCGCCCACCCAATGCACCCATCTCAGAATGTTAAATAATTCAACTTTTCCGTATGTGTTTGTAAAAGTATAAACCAATTTGTGGGATCATATCGTTATGCTGTTATCTTTCTCAATCCTCTTTCTAAAATTTAATAATCTGTATATGCATACCATAGAAATAGCAATAGCCCACAAAGTCCTGCAAGAAGGCAGTCATGTTTCCTGCAGTAGAACCCTGTCCAATTGCTGCCTTTCTCTCAGGATTATTGTATGGCTTTTCACTTTAAGAAATCAATGTGCAGTCAGGTGACTAAATAATGCTTTTGCCCTAAATTCTACTCAGAAACATCTCTTATACTGTTGTCTCCAATATTTTACTGTTTCCCCTCAGCATAACTTATTCTCCTCATAATTCTGCTTTCTCTCTCACTGATTTGTGGTTTTAAAGGAAACCTCGGTGATTCATGGTGATAACACTACATTCTTTAATGAGGTTCTGCCATTCATTGTGCTGTTACATACATGTATTATAACACTGAATTGTCATCACCTATACTGGTTGTCTTCAGTTTGGTTTGCCCAGAAGCAGATCTTGAGATTTTAAGGATTTGGGAGCAGGTGGTTTATTAGGGAGGCGATACCAGGTAGGGGAGAAGGAATGTGAGATAGGGAAGAAAAGGCAGGTCAAGCACCTTCCCACTGTGGGCAACTGGAGCTTAATCCAACTAGGGAACTCTGGTAGCCCATGTAGAATGTGTACCTCACCTTACTCACAAAAGGGCAAGGGAACTGAGCTATATATACACCAACTTCTATCAGTCATCTCTCAAAAACTGCTCCCTTTTGGGCATTAAATCCTCAGCACTTCCGGTCTCCCATGTGCTTAAGCAAAGCAGACTCAGGAAGTCAGAGAAAGCCCTTAGGCTAAATAAATAAATATAATGCAGGTACTGGCAGTCAGGACTCTGGGCACTGAAATGGTAAAGGCAAGAGGGTGAAATCCTGAAACATCAGCTGCACTGGCTAATTAAGGGAAAACACTGCATTACAATCACATTGCATAGACAAGGTATTTCTTTCTCACTCTTACTTCCAGTCAGCCACCAATATCTGCTGATGTTGCCTCCCTGCTAGCTCTGGGACCTCCCCTTTCTTTCCTATTTTTACTATCTTCTAGTTAAAAATGCCTGTATTCTTTCCTCTTACCACGCCCCAAGAGTTCTTGCCTCCAAGCCTCTGTTTTAGGGTGAAGGTTGAGTCCCTTTGCTGGAATGTGTTTCCATTTCTATACATGCCTATTGCAGTCCTTCTCCATAGCCCACCTCTCCGAGATCCTTCACACATCCTTCTCCTGTGGTTTGTGGCATTTCAGTTTAGTCTCATTTTGGCCCTTTGCATACGCTGTCTTTTATTAATTTAGATTAATAGGCATTTCCCTTTTTCTTACTAGATTGTGAACTCCCGAAGGGCAGATGCTGGTGTTCGATTACTATGGCACCCACTCCAATGCTTCACATATAGTAGATATTTGCTAGATGCTTGTTGAATAATTGAAATCCAAAATGGGTTGGAAAAGGATGCTGTTTTGAGAGGCCACCGGATTTGATTACCTGGATAGGGAAAACATACACTCGATTTTTCTAACAGTTTGCTCTCAAGCTGTCATTAAAATTAAAGTCTTTTATTATATGCTTTCATTGTTGCTGAATTAATACTCCCTGTGCCTTAGAGCGGTAGATGTAACAGCCTCTGTTAGTTATAATTGTGTGACATCAGGCAACAAGCAGTTGGGAAATTGCAAGTGCTAGTAATATAACTTTACATATAGTATATCATTACAAATGAGAAAACAGGGCCTGGGGGCAGGGATGCCTTGTAACTTACTTTTCTAAAGAGAAAGAAAACTCAATGGAATGACAGTAAATTCTGTAAAAAGCATTTTCTCCTTAGGAAAAAGACAGTGCCCATTTAGTTACCCTGTAATTTCAATTAACTTCCTCATGGCAACATGCTAAAAGAAATAAATTCTTTCTCTCTCTTTCTGTATCTTCTGGTCTCTCATGTGCACACATACACACATGCACGCACATGACTCTGAGAATGATCATTTTAGGAATCTGGGTTGGTGCTGACCACTGCTCCAAGAATTAAGGACCTAGACTGTGTAAGTCACTTTGTTTTATGTGAAACGTCCATCGTTTCCTCTCCCCTTCCCTACCCATTTCTGCATTTGCACACTTCTGTAAGCTACATAATTTAAATGAACAGGGAAACAGCCTTTAATGATATGATGACAAGAAGAAATGCTTCCATTGTGTTTAAATGAATTCCAATGAAGTCATATTTTGAAGGAAGAGGAGAGGGACCATCCCCTCCTGGGACTAGGAGTCAAGACTAAGGACTATGGGTGAGCTTCACTGGCAGTCCTCTCCCATCCATTTCACCTCTCCCATGCCCACTCTCTCCAATGCCCCTCCTCAAACGCTGATACACACCTAATCAAGAGGCTGTAGTAATGGAAACCCTGAATTACTATGGCTTCAACTAAATGTAGGACTATTTGGGGTTCTTATTGTTGTGTGCCCTTTTGTTTTGTTTTGTTTTGATGTTTTTTTTTTTTTAAATCTTACCTGAGAAGGAGGTAGACCAGGAGTAATATGGGAGATCCATGATCATTAGGGACTTAGACTCCTTTTGTCATCTTTCTCTGTTTATATCTGTTTTCCATCTTCAGCATTGACTCGTGGTCACAGATGACTTGCTAGAGCTCCATCTATCACCTCTGTGTTCCAAAGAGGAAAAAGGGGGATCAAGGAAAAAGGAGTAAAGGTCAAAAACAATGATCTCTCAATTCATCAGCATCCTTTGGGGAGCTTTCCTGGAAATCCCACCCAATTACTTTCTCTTATATCTTATTGGCCACCTCTATCAGAAAAGAAGAACAGAAAATGCATTTTAATACCTGTGCTCCTTGCTTAGGTTTTCCTTCTTGAGAAAGAAGGGAAGAGTGGATATCAGGAAGGTAAAACACACAGACATATACAATATTGCTTCTGTTAGATGCTTATAAAGATTGGGGTACAAAAGAGTAGTGACACCATGCTTTAAGTGCCTAAAAAGTCTCTGTGAATTTCCAGTTCTCCTGTTGATACTGTTTGGTTCAGAGAGAGAGAGAGAGAAGGAGAGAGAGAGAGAGAGTGAGAGAGAGAGAGTGTGTGTGTGTATGAGGATGAGCACATCCACTAAGAGGCCTGACATTTTCTCAAGTACTGAAATCTATTTTTGAAATAGCTTGCATTTTTTAGCATTTGGAATTCTAAGCACTGGAAATTTGTACCAGAGTCTAGGGTAGGACAGTACAAATTCTTTATTAACATGACTTAGGTCTTCACCTCTTAACAGCCCTATTTCTTTGCTGAGGGAGAGTTGGGCCTGAGGGGAGCAAGTATCATTATTTTCTTTCTACTGGCCAAAGCTGTCTCTTTGTTCATTCTCAGTTTTCAAAAGAAGTTGAGTTGAATTCACTTTTAAACTCTTAGGGATTCATTATCAGAAGAATAAAAAAAAAGCAATTTGAGTGGGCTCCAATGGAAATGGAGACCAGGAGGCCCAAGGTTGTGCTCTTAAAGACAAAGGCTACAGTAAATCCTAGGATTGCAGTGGGCACAGTGCACCAAAATCCATACCCTTTGTTAGAGAGGAATACCCTGGTTTTTTGTTGAGGTGATCTCCTAACCCTACAGAATTTCAAATCAGGAATTTTCCATTTTACTTTTTAGTAAGCATATAAAATTGGATGCTGGGGCCTCAGATTCCTGATTCTACTCTCTCCATCCTCTCAAACCTCCAAATATGTATGTAAAAAAAGAGGCAATTAGGGCAATGCAACAACTGAATAGGAGAGATGATATACTTGTTGGTCCCTTAGGAAAATCATCACTGAGACGTTCAAATGATTATGGGCAATTTCTAAGGAGGTAAAGGTGCAGGTTTAAGTCTTACACGGATTGTTTAGCTCTAATACCTTTACCAGCTACATACATAATGATAATCATGGCTAGCAAGTATTTATTCCTCTTTTGATCTGTCATATCTAATATGATCTAAATGGAATAGATCGTTTGATCCAAGATTAAATGCCCATTAAAGAGATGGTCAGTCCTTGAGTTTTAATAATTAATTTGAAGAATCTTCATCAATCTTTTCTCAATTACCTTTTATATTTCAAATGATCGTTTTTTGATAGCCTTGTCATTGAATATACTGTAAAGAGTGAAAAAAATAAATAAAAGTGTTTATACTAAAGGTGACTTACCCTCAAAGGTCCATAGAAAAGAACATCTGTCATCGTTAAAGAGCATGTAGCCTTTTTTTTACTCTGCCTGGGGAAAGTTCAAAGTTGACAGTGAGTTCACTTGAAGAGATGTAATATGAAGTCAAAGCAAAGGTAAGTTGACAGGACAAGCAAGATAAAGTTTACCAAGGAGTCTTGGCCCCTATCATGTGTTCCATGATCTCACCTGAAACAAAATCTTTGTTCTGCTTTATCTTCCTATGTATCCAGGAGATTTAAGTAGTAACTGATGCTGTCTGTAGAGTGAGTACTATAGACATAACAGCACTCCCGGTTTTCTTATTCATGCCAGGGAGGTTATTGCAGAATATGGTTTATGGGGGGAGACAGAGCAGAATTAATACTCTTTACAGTGCATAGAGAGGATTTAAGGGCTGCTCTTTTTCAGATAATACTTTCCTTAAATAATGTTTTCCTAAAGAAATGCTACAGAGCCTATTCCATGGTGTTCTTGGACAATATGAATGGAGGCATTTGGTTGGGAGTAAGACAGCAAGTTTCCAAGATTTCTTTACTATATCTTTGCTTTCCCACTCTATGAAATAACTTACCTAGAAGGGTTTTTTAAATTAAATTTAGTTTAGCCCATTCTCTGACAATCAAGTCCAGCTTCAAAAAGTATATATTTTCTAAATATTGAAATACCATGTAGCCTGCAAAACATAAGGCAAATTTGTACTGATGTGGAAAGATGTTCCAGTGTATATTAAGCACCAAGAAATGGATTAGGTTGCATAGCATTCATAGGATTATTCCTCTTTTTTAAGGATGAGTAAGTAGATAGATGGATGGAGGAGCAGCCACATTCAGGTGACTTACTGCAACACCTGGAGATAAGTGGTATTTGCAAGAACTTTTAACAGTAGATTTCTTTAATAAGTAGGACTGTTAAGAAAGAGAGCATTCTGATTATCTATTTTTAAGTAGTTTGATTTTTAAAAATATATATTATCAGGGTTTATCTGAGTGGCAAGATATTGGAGCATTCTTCTTTATACTTGCCTGTATTTAAAACAGCAAACCTCAAAACAGTGTTATTTTTAAAAGGTATCCCTGCTATGTTTTCTTTTTCTAATTAAGTTTTCTATTTAAAATTTTCATAAAAACTGTTTTAATTCATCCATTAGAAATTAAGGCCTCTATCAAAAACTATATGGCATTAAGGTCTCATATAATTATGCAGCTAGAAAAAGAAATTTAAAAAATAAGTACAATAAAAAATTTGCCATATGTATATGATATGGTTAAACTAAATTTTAATTAAAGGATCCATGTTTTTCTTTAATTAGATACAGGTGTTCTGGGGGATAAAAGAGAAATAACATCATTTTGCAGCCTTTCTTTTAATCCAGGACAGCCACCAAAAGGACCAAAAACCTGACCTCTGGAAAAATGTCTCTGAATCCTGTGGATTAACCAGGCACTGCAAATTCTAATGCAAACTTATAAACCATCCAGATTCATTTATATTAGGAATATAATTGTATTTGCCTTCTTTACATTGCATAAATATGATTATGAGAAATCAAACTTAAAGTGCTTAAACTTAAAAAAAAGAACTGTGATTTGAAATAGAAAAGAAAACCATATAAAATGAAATTTAGATTGCATTTTTATTAGAAGAAAATAGAAATATTAAAATGATTACTTAGGATGCTAAAACATGCTTTTATCCACATATACATATATTCAAACAAACCTAAACAACGTATCTAACATAAATAATAAAACCAACATTTTTCCCTTTATTTCAATTGGCAACACTTTTCCCTTTATGTGCATCTTTTACATATACACTTGTTATTTGTTTAGGAATAAAAATGCAGGTAAAATTATTTTTGTTCAGTTTTATAGACTGCAAGCACGCCAAAGCCTTCAGTGCGCTCGATCAATACCAGGTGATAATTTGGTTCATAATACACATTTTCCAGCCCTTCTGCAATTTTACTACTTTGGGCCAAAGGCCATTCCAAGGCCCAGCACAAAGTATAGGTAGTGAGTTTTCTGAGTAGGTATAAGTTGGAAGGAGTTGCTGAGAAGGATTATATGTCATATTTCAGGGGTACTTCCCTAAAGGGGATTATAACCAAGCTGACTTTATGAGCCACAATTGACATTGCTCTGTTTTAAAAAAGAACACATCATTTCACACAGTAGGCATAGTCAAATAACCTTCACCAAAGCAGAGACCTGTGGTGTTGTAGGGTTCAAGGATTAATCAAAGGATTAATTAAATTTCTGTGAATGGTATAGGCTAGTGATAATTGTACTGGTCAGTGTTTTGTGTGTTTATGTAGTTACCAGTCATGCATCACATTACCTTGCTCACATAATTAATAATAGACCCCGAAGACCAAAATTTAAAGCAGCCACTGTTAACTAATTGCCCCATGGTCTTTTGCAGAGATAGTTCAATTTTCAGAGTGAATTTGTAGGTGGAATTTAGATCACAAACATTCAGAATAATGTTTTCATCCGCCCCACTGGTTGAAGTTGCCCCAAGGGTGTTAAGTCACCTTTGTGCATCTCCTCAGTTGACTTCTAGGTTGCACTTCTGTGCAAGCTCTGGGGATGCCAGAGGAAGGAAGAGAAAAAGAGAGCTCTAAGAGCTCAAGGCAGGACATTAACCAGAAGGTGTTCTCAGCCTCAGGTTTACTCAGCTGGTCCAGAAGACTATGAAGCAGGGCAGCAGCCCTGTCTGCTCTAGACTGGGTTTTCCCTTTTAAATAAGCTCTGTAAAACCCCAGATATGGCCATATGCAAGAGATATTTTTTGGCCCGGGGTATTACAGAAGTGAATTAGTCCTACATTGCACAAATATGTCAATTTAATAAATGAGAGAAGCCACTTCTGTTTAAACACAGTACATTGACTCATGCATCTAGATATTTGGGCTTAAAGTTTTAGCCTCAGTGTGTACTGCAAGCAAGATTGAAGATGTGTATCACATCTGTACTCCCACAATCCCTATATCTGTAGAGTGCTTCATGGTTTAGGGAGTGCTTTCACAAGGACAACATTTTTGGATCCTTACAAAAGATGTGTGCTTTACACAGGAGTTATTACGATTTTCCAGTTGAGAAAACTAAGACCGAGGATGGGATGGAGGGATAAAAACACAGTAGTGGGTATCAAGAGACATGTCACTGCTCCTAATTTTACCTGTGGTCTTGTCGATATATATTTTTTTCTCTGGATATCAATTTCTTCATGTGTAAAGTGAGGGAAATTGACAAAATGACTGTAAACTTTTGAGTATTCTGAAAAGATGAGCTGGGACATGAATCAATGACTCTTTGGAGCTGCTCATTATTTCCATCATTCCTCAGGGTGTATTTTTATGAGTCTCTAGAACCCATAAATTCAATATATATTATACTGAATATATTCATATATATGACTATGGACTAAATTTGGTATAATATAATAATCAAGGTCTTTCAAAGAGTATATAAACAATGTATAAATATGAAGGCATTCACATATTGTTTATATATATGCATTTATATTGTATATAGTTACATTTTTACTAAATATTTCAAGTTAGTATATTCTCTAATTCAAAAATGTTAATGATAATTTACAGTACTCTGTTGATGTTAAAAATTTTGTAAAATCTTTTGGTATTCCCAATAAAAAATTCTATCTTCTCCAACATTAAAAATATTTTTTTACCTTACAGTTATATAATGTCTAGAATTAATATTATTATTATTTTATTTTATTTTATTTATTTTATTTTTTGAGACAGAGTCTCACTCTGTTGCCCAGGTTAGAGGGCCATGGCGTCAGCCTAGCTCACAGCAACCTCAAACTCCTAGGCTCAAGCAATCCTTCTGCCTCAGCCTCCGGAGTAGCTGGGACTACAGGCATACGCCAACATGCCCAGCTAATTTTTTCTATATACTTTTAGTTGTCTTGCTAATTGCATTTTATTTTTAGTAGAGACAGGGTCTCGCTCTTGCTCAAGCTGATCTCGAAATCCTGAGCTCAAAGGATCCACTCTCCTCGGCCTCCCAGAGTGCTAGGATTACAGGCGTGAGCCACTATGCCCGGCCTAGAATTAATATTTTTATCCCAAAGCACTTGAAGGTTTTTTTTCATGGAAGCTGCATCATATGACTTGTATCATATCATGTATCACATGCTTTGGGATTTAATTTATGAAATTATTTATTATTATGGAATGCAGTGTTTCTCTTTGCATGCAACCAGTAGAATATTGGATTAGCAGTAAATTGTTAGGTATCAGTTGTGAATATAGACCATTGGATTAGCTCTGAATTGTTCAGTACTATTTGTGAACACACACATATTTTAATACCAAATATATTATTTTTCTCCTACATCCATTTCTCTCTTCTATTCAACTATAATAAATAAACATACCTCCACATTGCAGTGTCAGTGCCAGGTTATTTCTGTTCTTTAAGATTCTAATTGCATTCATTATTTCAGGCTGAATACTAGTTAGGAACAGTCTTCAAGATTAAAGCTTTTAATCTGGGTATGAAAAATCATTTGGTGATGTTCCAAAACCCTCTTGTTCACAAAAGGAAGCTTTTCTGTCAAAAGAAAGAATCAGATCACATAAAACAGATTTTCTCAACTGCTATCACAGCTCTATAGAGTCATTAGGGCAAAGCACCTGCACCTCAAGACACTTTGATTACACAGTGTGCAATGAGGGCCTGGCTGTCACCTTGAACACTGAAAGTCCCTTCCTCTGAGTTAGTGTAACATCCTGAATTTATCACCGTATTGGAAATTCCATTTATCAAGTTGATTCAGTTTGTTCCCCCCTCCCCAGTGTTATCCTAGTCAGCAGATGGGCCCTTTATTTATTAGAATGGTACTATCACTGAATTGTAGCCACAAAGCTGTGTTACCTTTGCAACAGAAATGTTCGCAGTTTTATTTACCAATGCCAATATCAAATAGCTACCAAATAAAAGTCATCTTAGTTTTCAGAAAGTTTCTGTTTGTTTATTCAGTCATCTACTCAACAAGCATTTACTGAGCACTTATTTATACATTTTCTATCTTATTTGTGGAAAGGAATACAAAGGCATTTAATATAAATAAGAGAGAACAATTACAAAGTACAATTACCAATAAGAGACGGCAGCCTGGTCTAATGGAAAATGAGAACACTGGAGTCCTAAAGACAGGGGTTGAAATTTTAGTTATTTATTAGCTGTGTAACCTTGGGTTTTATCATCTACTCTATCTTCTCTTTATGCGTGTGTGTACGTAAAATGGAAATATACCTCTTGTATTAGGTTATTGTGTGAATTATAATTTAAACATTTTATGTACCTCACACAGCACTCAATGAAAGCATAGTGACAGAATAAATAATGGTTCTCAGCATCATGGTATCAATAAGAACCAGCCTGTGTCCTCAAAATAGTTTACATTTGTTGGTACAATTTATGAGATGCCTAACATAAAAAAAAGCCCTCCAACTTATTCATAAAATACACTGATACTTCATATTTTCTGGCTCATTTCTCTTTTCAGTTCAACATAGGTTACATTCCCTCTCTTGTTCTCTGTTATCCAGGGTCTAGTCAGGTAATGGGAATCTTTAGTCATTATTTCAGCTGGAAAGGGGAATTGATTATACACCTGTTAGACAGCTACAAAGTCAAAAAGAGAATAAAAAGAGAATTGTGTGTTAACAGCAATCCTAAGGATGGGGGGAAAATTTAAAAGGTTAGATTTGTCAGATCCCAGAAACTCAAAGAAGGGACTCCACAAAATTTAGGCTTAGACCTATACCCAGCTGGTGCGGATAGCTCACAAGCTGCGGGAGGGTCCCTGCAGAGCTGGCCTCCTGAGCTGGTACCTCTGAGGTACAATGAGACTTGTACTGGGCATGCCAAAAAATAGACAGTAGACACTGAGGCCAACTGCTGCTGCTGCAGGCCAGGGCTGTGGCCAGGGCTACTCTGATAGTAACAATGAGTGAAAAAGGAAGGAGCAGGTCCTTTCTTCTCTCTTCCTGGCTGCCAATTTCCTTCCAGTGCTCTGATGGCTGGATCTAACAGGGAGCCACTGTCAAAAAGAGATAGATGTAGCTTCACAGTCTCAGCTGCAGCATCGCAGAGCTGGGACTTAGAAGGATGGGGCCAGGCTGAGAAACAACAGCTGACTTACTAACTGGCACAGTCTGTGTTAGCAGAATGACTTCATGCCTTGATTTGCAGGATGAAAATCTGCACCCAAATGGCTTGAGAGCTCACTGCCTCCTTTGGTTTAGTCTACTATCATACGTTCACTTTTGAAGAGACACAAATCCATTTGAATGTTGAAAGTAAATATTTGTGGTTCAATTTTCAGCTTTAAACTTCTTTTGAAAAGAATAGATAGGACTTTTCCTACTTACTGCATCATCTGAAGTCTACCTTCTCAATAGAGGACTTTTGCTATTTTTTCAAAATTCTTAAAAGGCAAATGTTCAAAAATGTGGGAAATATTTCTCGTTTACTGAAATGATAATTAATATGAATTTGTTATCCTTCTGCAGTTAAATTGGGTTAGAAATATGACCATTATCATTAGGAAATTTTATATGAGGTTAAACATTTATTAACTGCTAAAATCATCCAAGAAACTTAAAATAAGAGATATTTCCTGAAATGGTCAAAAGACAACATAACCTCTTTAAGGAGATGTATTAACAGAAGATGAATTTTTGTAAAGTATTTACAAGTTTATATTTTGTTGAATAACAGTTAATGCTAGGTTTTATAGTTACTTCTAGTATTTAAAAAAAAATCTGTGGGGCATTCCAATTTATTTAGGTCTTGTAAGTGCCAGGCACAGAGGAATCAGAGAAAAAAAGACCAGCAAGGTCCTGACATGTTGGAAGCACATCTTCTAGTGGAGACAAGTAGAAAAATAGTGAGCAAGTAAACACAGAAACAATGTGAAAATGCTAGAAAAGGGGGAAAACTGGGTTAGTTTTGAGAATATGTTTGTGTGTGTAGTCATGAAAGTCTTTTGGGAGAGGTGAGATGTGAGATGAGACCTGAAGGATGAAAAAGAAGGAGGTAGCCATGGGAAAGGCAAAGGAAATGGCAAGGACAACACCCCTTACATAGAAAACAACTTTACATTTTTTAGGTACCACTACAGAAGCTATTGCAGCTAATGCACAGTGAGAAGAGAAGGGAATAAGTTTGAAAAGGTAGGAGGGCCCAGACTGTGAAGGACCTAGTAGGGCTCAGTAAACAGTTAGGATATTATTCCTAC